ACTCGACTCGCTTAATCCGAGAGAGAGACAAATAATTAGATGGAGGTATGGCATGGAAGATGGGAGGATGAAAACATTGCAAGAAATAGGAGAAATGATGGGTGTAAGTAGGGAAAGAATTAGACAAATTGAGCTATGTGCGTTCAGAAAACTCAAAAACAAGAAGAGAACTAAGCATTTGCAGCAGTATCTGATGCCATGATGATGAGTTCTTCATCAGATTCCTTCAAAGAGTATCTATTATGATCTGGTATGAGAGGCTTAAACAAGGCTTGTTCTTTCTTTTTTCTGTAACATTTTTATTGTTCTTTCCCACTTTGAGGATAGATTAGTATCATGTTGTTTACAGACTGATAGCTACTTTCTGTTCATACATATTTAATTTAAATCAAGAGATTTGTCTTGATCCATGATTGTGGCTTCTGGATTAATGTCTTTACGATATAGTGTAACGAAAAGATGAACTTTTTTCGGGTTCTTGACGACAGTTGTGCTATCAATACCAGATTCTATAGTCGAGCCGACCGATAATTCTACAGAAGGTTAGGGGTGAATTGAGACTTTTGAGTGGTGAATCAGTCCTTGTTGAACACAAATGTTTGTGGGAAACACTTGCACGCTGATTGAAAACCTAACCCTAGGTAGGGTAGAATGGTACTTCTAATAGATTAAGTATCTAAGATACCTGAATCATTTTCTTAAAATAAATATACAATAGACTCTACAATTATTAGGCTTAATCCTATTGAGCTCGTGATGACATTTTAACAGTTTTATGAGTGGGTTGAGAGGACTATCGTCTTCAGATTAGGCCGGAGCTCAAGAATTGGCAATTGGCCGTCAAAGATGGGCTATTGGAAATTGGTGTTGATCCCTGTAATGGGTTGACTTTGGATCATTCAATGGGTACCAAGATTGGTGGTTCGGCATTCAACAGTTTAGGTCATAGGCACAGTGTTGTTGATCTCCTCAGTTGTGTGAAAGCTTTGAACACGGATCGAAGCAATGGGTAATTGGGGTTGTTTTTCGCGATCAAAGAAGGCCATGCAATAGGGGCATGCTTGACACGTTCCACAAAATTTAGGTGTATGTTGTATATTTAACCAATTATGTTTTTGTTCGGATAATTCCGTCAAATATATTAACAAAACGGGACCCTTGCATGTCCCATTTTGTATCGGTCACACTTGCGTTGCCTAATCAAAACAATACGAGCATAATCATTTGGGCCTCATTTTGATAATTTTGTTGATTTTTAAAACACAACACATTTACTACGAGAATATCTCACCAATCCCTCCTATGTCTCAGCCTTAATTTCATCCCACCAAATTATCCAAAAAAAAAAAAAAAAGGAACAAGTTCATCTTATTCCCATTTCAACTCACGCAATATCATCTTGAATTCGGTTCACCAACATCAACGCTGTGGAGTTAGAACAGACGGCGTAATCCGAAATTGGGAGCAAAAGAACGACACCCACATCAGATTTGGCAGAAAAAAGAGAGGCAAAATATAAAACGTTTCATACAGGAAAAGGAAAATTTCAATAAATGTGGCACCTCAGTCCATTTTGTAGTGACATTTATCTTCGTTTTGGAAAAATGTTGAGAACCCACATAAACCCTTGAGCGTAGGTGAATTTGCAGTGGAATTTTGCGGGTTCCCAATCTCCAAAAACCCACAAAACCCCTTGAAATTAAAGAGCATGTGCGTTTTATCTTCAATTTCTAAGTTCGTAAGGAGAAGTACAGAGGGAGAGAGGATTTTAGAATGAAAATCAAAGGGAGTGGAAGGAAGAAAAGTGCGAGCGGTTCAACGGTGGCCATGGATGGTGGTGAAGTCGTCCATGGAGGCGACTCGGATTACGCTAATATGAACAGCAACAACAACAACAACAACAACAACGCCATTATTAGCGTTGAGCCTTCGACTTCACATTTATCGAAGACCCATCAAGAACAAAACCTAGGAGAGCTTGATGACGGCGGCGATGGGGAGGAAGAAGATGAACACGACGGCGATGAGGCTGATTTTGCTGCTCAGAGAACCAATCTCGATGATGGGTTCTATGAAATTGAAGCAATTCGTCGAAAAAGAGTTCGTAAGGTGTTCTTATTTTCGATTCTCCTTGTGTTTAGGTCTTCTGATTTCTTTGAATTGTATGAATGATGGGTTTATGAATGTTTGTTCATTTACTGATTTCGGGGGTTTCTTTGCTGTGGGGATGATTGATTCAAAACACAGGGACAGCTTCAGTACTTGATCAAATGGTAAGCCATAGCTGCACCTCTTTGTTGTTTGGTTGTCTTGGTTTCTTAGAGCTTGACTATGGGTACTCAAATTACTGACCAAACTGAGCTTTCCTAAAGGCGAGGCTGGCCGGAGACGGCTAATACTTGGGAGCCCTTGGAGAATCTCCATACGTGCTCCGATTTCATCGACGCATTTGAACGGAGGTATTCTCGTCTACTTCGATCAGTATCTTTTGTTGGTAGCTAGAGTAAGCATTCATTGACATGTGCTGCTGATTGCTGTGATGGTTTCTTGTGAAGTTTAAGGTATAATGTTGTTGAAATTCGGTTTTGTTTTCGAAGTTTAATGACAGGAAAGCAACGGAAGCGAAAGAGAAAACACGGGGTTGTTCATACTCAAACTAAGAAAAGGCAGCAGGGAGCTAACTTTTCTACTTACAATGTCACAGATGTTGAAATCAGTGTTCTTGATCAACGTCTGCCGTCTGCTCCGATAAACATGTCTAGCCTTACTCATCATTACGCTCATTCGCAAGCGATTGTTTGTAATCACGAAGGAGATAAGAATGGAGATGTAATAGCTCTTGAAAGAGGCAAGAAAATCGATATTGATAACGTGGGGAAGAATGCTACTCAACGAAAGAAAGATGAACATGAGTATGATCCGAAACTTAGTGAGCTTAAGGCAACAGTATTAACGAACGTAGCCATTGGCGATAAGCTTGCAGTCAATTTTCAAGAAGCTAGGACGACGGATAACAATGGCCCGGCAGCTCTTTCTAAAAGTGGCACTGTGGAAGCAACCGCTGACAATCGGTGCATTGGGGCTAAGAGAAGGAAGTCGGGTTCGGTTAAAAGGTTTAGACAAGATTCAACTTTATCTGAACTACCTGTGGCTCAAAATGCAGAATTGACATTGGCTGTAGTAGAATCCGGTGCTCAAGTAGAACCGATTGGGATCGAGAATTCTGGATATCGTGGGGAAAGTTTCATTCGCAATAACAAGACCGATGACGCCAGAAACGAGCTGCGAATCATCAAGATTATCAAACCGTTAGGCTATTCTGCATCTGTGTCGAACAACATTCAGGACGTGTTGGTAACGTTTGTGGCCATGAGGTATGTCAGCTTTGTCTTGCCTAACTCTGTCCTATTTTTTTAAATATATAATGAAAGTGGACAGTATCATACCATTGTAGAGATTCGTGGTTCTGAACATGGTATTGGAGCTATGTTCTTAACGTAGTCATGTCAATAGAATCCTCAAATATCGAACAAAGAAGTGAGCTTTGAAGGTGCAGTAAAAAAGTGATCCAAAGTGCCGAACAAATGGTGTACTTTTTTAGAGGGCTCCTAAGAAAGGAGTTGAACCTTAATTAGGGGGATGTTGTTCGAGGGCTCTATAGATCTCAAGGGAGGCTCTATGGTGAATCTCATGTCGGTCTATTTCATACCAATGACATATTTTGTAATAATTTCTTTGTTTTAGGTCTGATGGAACCGAAGTGATGGTCGATAACAAGTTCCTCAAGGCTAACAATCCGCTACTGGTAACTCGTTCAATTCTTCACTTTATTATGCTTTTGAACTTCCTTAAACAATGCTCAATTGTTCTTCCTTCTATTCTAACTGTTGTGTTAACTAATACCAGTTGATCAACTTCTACGAGCAACATCTCCGCTATACGACTAGATCATGAATAGCAAAACGAACGAACGGTACGACTTTTGGGATCCCGTCTTTGTTATTTCTTTATATTTTCGTGCATTTCTACTGCCTCTTGGTGCGCATGATCGAGTATAAGGAGATGGTTAAACAAGGTCTATACGTTTTTCTTATCAATAACAGTATCCTCCACCGTGGTCACGTCTCCTTCTTGCTGTGAAGAAACGAGATAAGAAGTTCGAGGCTTAGAATCTTTCCGCTAATTATGATATTAATGTTTTATATGTAGGTAGCTGCGTCGTTCCTAAGGTTTTGTATATAGTACCGTCGTGTCGATCTCGTTGCAGTCAATGCACTTGTTTAATCTTTGATTTCTCAAGAGTCAAGAGCAATGGATAGAATTGGTTGTAACTTAAAGAGTCCTTAGGGAGTCAATGCAATCATTGTGGATTGCATATATATGGTCTTTTTTTCCCCCTTTTCTTGTGTGTTTTTGAGAACGATACGATAGTATGTTTCCTCGAGGTGTTTTTTGTTCTTTTCTATGCTTTTGGAGACGACATCGTGTCGAAGTTTACATGGGAAGAGAGCGAATTTCTGTTTCCGAGCAATGTGGCTCGCAATTTATGCACTAAAAATGAAAAAAGAGTGATAATTACTCCTCCATGGCTGTTTTTGAAGAACGAGTCATCGTTCTTCACTTAGACGAAGCCACGCCTCCATGGAGAACGTTCACTTCAAGTTCTAATGTCGTTTTCGAACTTAAATATTGTGTTCTACACAACCTTGTTTCTTGTCCGCCCTCGACCCATCCTCAACTTTATGTCTACAATCATCATCATGCATGGATGAAACAACAGGTCGAAAGTGGACATTTGGGAGATGAAATTGAATGGAATCACAGAAAATCTTGTAAAGTAATGATGAACAATTTGCATCATTATTATAGCTTTAATGCAATTTTTACTATGGGTTTCACTTGTTTTTTTAGATTTTCAACCAAAATTTTAAAACAAAAACGTTTTTGTTCTCAAAATTAAGAACAAACTTATTAAACTATGAACAGAAGAATGCAGCCCATGATGAAAAAAGTGGGAATGGATTAAAAATTTTCAGGAGAACTCAAGTGTGAAGTAATCATAATACAAATAACCAGTTGAAGAGATGCAACAGCTCAAAAGATTAAAGCTAATTCTTAGGAATGTTCTTTCCTACTATCTTTGCAGGAGCTATTCGAAGAAGGTTTCCTGGCTTACCAGGGACAGCTCCTTTGATCATCACAACATTAAGCTCATCATCTACCTTTACAATCTTCAGTTTTCTGATCTTTCTCTTGGTTCCTCCCATCCTTCCAGGCATCTTTTTCCCCTTGTACACGCGACCTGGTGTAGTTCCTGCACCGATTGATCCAAGTGCCCTGTGGCTCTTCGAACCGTGGGTCATCGGACCCCTTTTGAAGTTGTGCCTCTTGATTCCACCTACAGAAGAATTAGATCGAAAACAGTTAAGAGAGTAGTGTTGAAAGGAATGAAGAACACATAAAATTATTTAAATTTACTTTCTTCTTTACATTCATTATCCACATGTTGAGTGAGTCTTGTAAATCAAATTAATATCGAAGTTTACACAAAGGGGTATTGAGAACGTGTTAAAGGATCAAAATCTAGCATAAAGTTTGCTCTCATTTCTAATGGTCATTTAACAGGGTATTACACATTTTGAGTTCAAATCCTTGTAATAAATCGAGTACTAATACTTAAGCTGATCTACAAAGGGAGAGTATAGTAAGTAGTTGAACATGTATATTTAGATGCAAGCACAATATCATGGAGTCTACTGGACCGCCAACTTAAGCATATAAAAACTTGCTAGACAGCCCACACCTCCTCACCCACATAAGAAATTTGCAAAATCTAACAAGATCGAGATTCAGTATGGAACATAAAACGTTTGAGATTTAGATGACATTTCCTGATATCAATACTGTAACAACCAAAACCCACTTCAAAAGATATTGTCTTTTATGGAATTTTTCTTTCGGGCTTCCCTTCAAGGTTTTTAAAACGTGTCGGCAAGGGAGAGATTTTCACTCTTGTAAAGAATGTTTAGATCTCACAGATACTTTGGGATTTAGAAATTTTGAACGGCTTCAGACTTCGGAATTGTAGTAATTGGGCATCCAACAGTAAAATATCAATGAAAATTCATGGTTAATTCTTCCAGAGCATGCCTAAATTCAACTCCAACATTATCCAGGCGCAGAACAAAGGCCAGAAGAAGTCTTGGAGGAAAATGAAAATCCAATTTTAAACTGCTTCAAACTTTGGAATTGTATATGTAATTGGGCATTCAACAGTACAATATCAATGAAAATTCATGGTTAATTCTTCCTGAGCATGCCTAAATTCAACTCCAACATTATCCAGGCACAGAACAAAAGCCAGAAGCTTAGAGGCAAATGAAAATCCAAGGAAATTCAATGAAACATAGACTTCAAAACAGAATGAGCAAGAAGCACAAAACCTTGAAATCCCTTTCCAATTGTGATGCCGGAGACATCAACCAGATCGCCCTCCTTGAAAAGTTCATTGAAAACCAACCGTTGATTGGGCTCAAATCCATCAACATTCACAAGACGAAACTCCTGCAAATGGCGCATAGGAATCGCTCCAGCTTTCTCGAGATGCCCTAATTCCGGTTTCGTCAATTTCCGATCCCTAACCCTACGGTACCCAACCTGAACGGCACTGTAGCCGTCGGTCGCCTCCGTCTTAACCTGCGTGACGATATTGCCTTCCTTGAAACCAACCACCGTGACAGGGACGACCTTGCCGTCCGGCTCGAAGAAGCTCATCATACCGAGCTTGGTGGCCATTACTCCAATGCCGGCCTCCATACTCATACAAACCGGTACGCCATTGTTAGTGTGTCTAGTGGTTCTTTGTGCCGGAAATTGGAGACGAAGGTTGCTGTTGTGGTGGGATTTGAGAGGAAGGGCGAGGAAGGAAGTTCTTAGCCTCAGAGACGAAGATGAAGAAGAAGCATTGTTAGTGAAAATTGGATGTCGGATTGAGGTTGAAGCTGAAGAAAATGGTATGGCCGACATCTCTTCTTCTCTGGTTTCAGAGATTCATGTGGTGATGAAGAAGAAGAAGAAGAAGAAGAAAGACGAAGAACGAACTGGGGATGGCGAGGATTGCTCGTTTTCTTATCCGTTTATTTCTCTTATTTTCCCCCCATTATTAAACAAATAAATATAATAAAAAGGATAAATGGAAAAAAAAAAAATACTAGAATTTGCTGATTGGTCAAAAATTCAAGAATACTTTTATAAATTTAGCCTATGTATAAAGATTAAAATAATATTTTAACCTAAGTTAGTTCTACAAAATAACCTCCAAAACATGAACTTACTAAACCTGAGCGATTGAATGAGTAAATATCACATGAAGCTTTAGACACCACTTGTAACGACCCAGATCCTCCCCTAGGAGATATTGTCCTTTTGGGCTTTCCCTTTCGGGCTTCCCCTCAAGACTTCAAAACGCGTCTGCTAGGAGAAGGTTTCCACACAGTTATAAAGGGTGTTCTGTTATTCTCCCCAACCAATGTGGGACATCACATCAATATCATACACAACTCACAAATGCAAAAGCCTACAAATAGATTATCAAAGTGATACAATACAGGATACAACACATGGATAGGATTGCTCCACTGTTCAAAATTTTACGGAATATCGAAACGCTTTGACATTTCTCCTATGGGACGGGGTCGGTACACCGGTTACTGTATAATGCAACTCTACAAGTGATGAGCGAGTAAGAGAGAGAGAGAGAGAGGGGCATACATTAGCTTAATCATTTGATTTGGACTAAGGCAGATCATTTGATTTGGAGGCATCAGGCTTAATTTCTGTTGGTGCAGTAGAAGCCTTGCGTAGAACATTTCCCAGCTGAATCCCCACACTAGACCCGTCTTCCTTGCTTCCTTGGCTGGAGCCATCAGTAGCTGCTGCTTTCAGTCCCTTCCTTTTCTTCACCTTCTGAGCCCACCCAACTAGACCTACTTGTACATGGTCTTCAAAGATTGCTTTCTTGAAAGAACTTCCCATCTACATTTCATTGTATTCGGAAATAATGTCAGGTCCACCGGACACCAAAAAACTAAGAACTCATTTGGTAACGTTTCTGTTTTTTGTTTCTAGTTTTTGAGAAAAAGAAATCTTTGGTAACGGTTCTCATTTCTTTCTTAACACGAGAAAATAAGAAACAAGAAACAAAAAATGAAAACGCTACTCAATGATATCGACATTTTGTGAGATCCCACGTCGGTTGGAGAGGAGAACGAAACATTTTTTGTAAGAGTATGGAAATATCTCCCTAGCAGACGCGTTTTAAAAACGTTGAGGGGAATCCCAAAAGGAAAAAGCCCAAAGAGGACAATATCTGCTAGTGGTGGACTTAGGATGTTACACATTTCTTCCCATTTTGTTGAGTAATAAGAAGATTTACTATTGAATTTGACTATGATAAGCTCTCATAATAACCCGTTATTGGACTCACCTGCGTGACGATAGCGTAGAGCGGTAGGGTGCTGTAACTGCAAAGAACCTGAACAAACACCCTGATCCAAACAAATGAAATGGAAATTAGTGACCAAGATGAGGTAATTGTCTGGCAGGAAAACCAAAATATGGAGCTTGTGTTTTACCCAATAATAAGCCTAGGAATGATATAGGCGACTTTTCCCATGATGCACGAGTCGAAGCCATATTGAACCTAGAAACATAACCAAGCATGACTTTGGGTCTCAATTAAACAAAAATATCATCATAATCATCAGCAGATACAAGTCAGTTTGCTGCTTACGTACCCATATCCAGAAGAAAAATCCAATCTCGAAAGCGTTTTGGAAAAGTATAAAATGGATCAAGAAGAGAACGATACGGGGTCGCTGAAACCAAAAGTGATCGTCGGATGGTTGGACTATCAGATCACCTTCGATTGCTACATGCTTCTCTGCAACCTCATGAGCCAGCTGGGCTATCACATGTTCCAGCTTGGCTCCCACAGCAAGCAGAAGCTGGAAAAAGAGGAATAATGAGTATCCAAATGAAATGCAGAAGAAATAAATGAAGTATGATAGAACTTCATGCCATTTCAAGAAACAAAAACAAAAAATCTAAGGTTATAAACAGCATTTTGGGAGCTCATTGGTTGAATTTATCCGCGAGTGCTTGAGTCAGTTACCATATTTGGTCGTCAAGGTAACTCATAAGATACTTAAACGTAGCATCGCCATCTACAAACCTCCACGATCGTGTAAAAAATTGTGAAGTTCAGTCAAGTATATAAGCCTACACAGCTATATTGGTAACAAGATACAAACTCAAACTCACTTTTCAATCAACAGATTTGTGAGGGATGATAAAACTACTTACAATAAGAGGAATGAATGCTATCCAGAAATATGTATGCCAGCCTGCATGTGTAAGTAGAAGATAATGATTATCAAACTAACATTATTCTTACGGATAATACAATGGAAACTCATCCTAATCTATAAAAAGCAAGTATTGAACTTCCATATAGCAACTATTCAAAATGGTTTTTATTCGAATCGAGAAGCTTAAAGTTTTACATATGAGATACTGACAGGGGTGACTCTAGTGGTATGAGCTTAGAATGTTTAGAAATATACTCCAAATTTTTGAGTTTGAGGATGGTAAGGGCTAGGAAATTTAAGGAAATTCCATATATAAACGGATCAGAGAAGCGTTGTCGTACCGTTAATATTAAGGAGCAAGAAGACAACCACGAAGATCCAAAGATACCAACTGCAACAAAGATTGTAGAAATGAGAGGAGCTGTGGAAAAGAAATATGATAGCTCGAAAGTTATAATGATTGGCTCAACTACAAAATTGAGCAATCCTGCTGCCAAGTATGAAAGGGTACTTCCAGATATTCACTTGCCTGATACCGACAACATGTTTGAAATCATCCTCAAGGGCACGTATCATATACTTGTGAAAATTAAACTTGGGGTTTCCCCTGCAGTGTGTCTACAGCAGTGAAACTTTTATTAAAGCAGTATGAGAATGAACGTCAAATATCGATCGACATTGAATCGTAGATGGCTTTACCATAATGAAACCAAGTCGTAACGTCACATAATCTGCTTTTGTTACAGAAGCATAAAATTGCTTGAGGAAGGAACGCTGAAGGAAAACCCAAGAAAGAGTGTTAAAACAAGCAATAACTCTTAACAGCATCACATGTTTTGATTCGAAAATGCATGTTCAAACTAAATGTGGAGCCTACAAGAAGAGCTGAATCTTTACCAATGATATATTTTTGGTAAGAAAGTGATTGGACTTACCAACCAACCAAGAAGAGCTGAATCTTTACCAATGCCCTGGAAGTGGTCTTTGATAAAAGCATGCTGATGGACATGAGTGACTTTTGGTTCTAGAACTGCAAAAGAATTGGGATTAAAACAAGAATTAGGTGACCAACCGAGAGCTTTTTTAGTGCACATATCAACTTAAGAGTCTATTCACACAGTTCTTTCAATCTCGAACCGTATTTTATTTATTGGTGATATGTCCAGAAAAATTTATGTCAAATGGTTACCGTCTTCGGCATCGTAATTCTCTTTTGCAATAGAATCCTCCCAAGCCTTCCATTGACGAATCTATATCATCACACAAAGAAATAAAACTGAGATCAAACAGTCAAGTTATCCTGTAATGATAGCTATCAGAAAACAAGCCTACTAGTTGTTTACCTTCAATCCTCCAAAAACCACAGTGAGAACACAAAATGTCACGTGGACAATAGCTAGGATGAAGATAAAAATATGTAGATGATGCAATGCTTCAAGTGATAGCAATGGCACCTTATCCTGGAGAGGAGAAAGGTTAAATTAAAAACAATTTATAAAGACAAAGATATCTGCAGGGCAGAGCAATGAGACCGAAATAGTGTAAGACAACAGCAGGATATATGGGTGAATTGTGGATACTGTTGAGGATTGGTTGGGAGAGGAGTCCCACGTCGGTTAATTAAGAGGTTGATCATGGATTCATAAGGAATAAATCTCCATTGGTACGAGGTCTTTTGGGGAAACCAAAAGTAAAACCATAAGAGCTTATGCTCAAAGTGGACACTATCATACAATTGTGGAGAGTCGTGATATCTAACAGATACAACCTCAATTTTCACGACAAAAGGCCATTAACATATTTAAAGAGAACACTTCAGAACCAGTCCAATAATATTTTATTCTTCTGTTTCGTGTTCTTTGCATTCTTTTTTAACAAGAACTCAAATAAGCTTGATAAATACTTAGAACACCATTGTTTCCAAAAGTTGAATATGAAAAAAGGGGGAAAAAGGGGTAAAGAAGTGTTAACTGGATCAATTTGAACCCAGATTCCTACAGTCTACATATGAAAGTGATACTCTTAACTGAAACAAAAAATGGGATAGAATGAAAATCAAAATTTGTAATATTGTGCTCACTAAACCTGTTCTGTACTTGGAATAAAAATATTTATATTTTAATATAGATACATCATGAATAGTACTTTCTCAAAAAAAAAAAAAAAAAAAAAAAAAAAAAAAAAAAAAAAAAAAAAAAAGAAAGA